CACACACACACACACACCACACACACACACCACACACACACACACACACCCGTTGCAGGGAAGAGCAGCAGCCACTGGGGTGGTGTGTGGGGGTGGAGGAGAGAACACTGTGGTGACCTGAAGTGCTGTCCATCCTGTGAGGCCTTGCCCTCAGTTCCAGCTTCGCAGCCCCACCCCCACCACAGGCAGGGGGTCTCTAAGATTCTGCTTGTTAGGTGTCCTGCTCTGCCCAACAGCACGGTGGTCCTGGACTGCGCATCCTGTTAGCATATCCTACCTCTGACCTTGGCGGAAACTCAGCCCTGCCGCTGTTCCGCTCCCACAGCCTGTAAAGGCCTCCGCCTGCGTGACTTCTGCCTCGCTTTGCCCTGCTGCCCACAACAGCAAACTTCATCCCCTGCTCTCCCACCTTACTTCATGCTTCCTCCCTGCCTCAGTTCCCCCGTAGTAAACCTCACGCTGGCATTGCAGCTGAGTGTTTTGAAATCTACCTTCTTTGAATCTCTAAACTGAGAAGTCAGCTGAGCCCCTATCCCCAGAACATAACTGTAAGACGAATTGCTAAACTGTCTTATTAATAAAAAATAAAATAAAATAAAAAACCAGAGGGTTAAAACTGAGAGATCAGAGGAACAGGACAAGTCACAGCCAACCTCACCTTACCAACTCCTCAGCCTCCAGAGACACCTACTTCCTGTACACTCACGCCTATATGCCTTTCTGTCCCTGCCATCTCATTTCCTCTCTCTGCCCAGCTACATCACTTCCTCTTTCTTCCCAGCTCTATCACTTCCAGTCTGTCTGTACAGAACTCCAGACCTCCATTGTTAGTGCTAGGATTAAAGGCATGTGCCACCATGCCTGGCTCTGTTCCCAGTGTGGCCTTGAACTCACAGAGATCCAGATGAATCTCTGCCTCCTTAATGCTAGGATTAAAGGCGTGTGCTACCACTGCCTGACCTCTATGTTTAATATAGTGGCTGGCTTTTTCTTCTGATCCTCAGATAAGCTTTATTGGGGTGCACAGATAAAATATCACCACACATAACCAAATGGACTAGGCTAGCCCTTAATTTTAATCCTGTTACATAGCGAGTCATGGACAGTGGGGGTTCAATTCCTGCCGATGTCTGTATGAAATCTTAAATGTCGAGAACACCGATTCTCAGCTGAAATCAGAAATTGGCTGGGCAACAGGAAGTCAGCCCTGTCCTGAAATAGTCCTGCAATCAGCAGAAATCTCTACCGCATCAATCAAAAGGGTTCGCAGCCAGTAGTCACCGAACCAAGGAAAGTGACCTTCACACCCCTCCCACTCCTGTCCCGTTCCACACTCTCGTTAGCTTCAGTTGATTGATGGCTTCCAGAAGAAGATGATCCATCACTGCTCGGATGAGCAAAGCTTCTGCCGGGACGTGTAGGTCATTCCAGCATTTTGTAAAAGTGAGACAAAATATGAAGTCTAAAAAAATGCCAACTCATGGGAAATAAAGAAAAAGCTCCATAGAGTACGGTGCTGCCAGGTGCCGGTGAGATTAATGCGGGTGGAAGATGGATAGATCTGCTTTTGAAAACAAAGCATACGTAGTATAGAAAAATGTTCATATTACAAACTCATTTTAAGGCCTGGGGAATGATTTTAAATTCACACCAGCAAATACACACTATCAGAATAGTAACTGGGAAAACTCAGTGCCTAAGCCCAGGGTCAGCCACTACTTAGACCACGTCCTGGCAAATGCCAGGCTGGTCCTTAGCTGCCTTTCCTATGTTGTGCAACCCAATCCTTATTTCTGCTGAGGTGAAAGTACAGGGTTTGGGTTTTGTGTTTGTTTGGGGGAGGTTTTTGATTGTTTTGTTTTGTTTTTGAAAGTGAGAACTCCCTCCTGGTCATGCACGGAGCTAGAAAATGTGAACACCAGATCCAAGTCAGAGGTTTCGTCCAAAGCCCACACTATTACCAAGCTGCATGCGCTTCTCACTTCCTCCCCGATTTTCAGAAAGGGGGAACACGTTTAACTAACGATGGTTATGAAAGTAAAATGGCGAGTCTTCAAACATGGGGTACCTATAGAATGAGAGGGCAGCATTACTCTTTACAGAGATGCACAAAATGCCTAGACACAGTGAAACACTCGGGCAAAGAAATGGTCTTGAGCAGATACAGCAGCACATCGTATTTTGAAGGAGAAAATAATTGGGAAATTGTCAGTTCTTCCTAAGAGATTTCATGAGTTTTGCATAATTTCAATAATATATATATATATCATTTTTCTCAAAGCAAGACAAGTTAATTATATATTGTATTTAAAAGAACAAATAAGAGTAACCATGGAAACAATAAAACAGTAAGGAAGGGAGACTATCCCCCTCTGGATATTAAAGTGTGTTATGAAGCCTTCACTCTGAGCAGTCTGGCTAACAGATGGACCAAGAGATAGAAAAATGAAGCCCCAAAATACACCAGACTGAGCATGGCAGTTTAGGATGCCATAAAGGCTGCATATCTCAGATCAGAAGAGGAAAAACGGACTGACAGACAGCTGGTTAGCTTTGCAGAGAGAGACTCACACTAAAGCCACTTCCCACACGGCACACCTGAATTAATTCCAAATGGGTCTGAACGTGAAATCAACAAGCTGCATAAATATCAGGGAACAGTCAGTGACTCTTTTCCTTCCAGTGCCTTAAAATCCAGAAGTCATCAAGGAAACGAGATCAATTTGACCACATAAAAATAAAAATATTCACATAAAAATTAGCATTAGAAAAATCAAATAATAAACAGGGATGGTAGTAGGAGGTCTACCAATTAAGCCACTTGTAACATGTCCCCATCCCTAATAAGTAGAAGACTCTCAAAGAGTATGAAAATAAAGTAGAAAAGTGACCAAATGATACTATTTACAGAGAAAAGAAAATGTCTTGTAAAAACAGACAAAATTACAAATGTGTAGCAGTGTGCCCTATGTTAAGGCTCAGGAAAACAGGTGGGAAACTCAAGTTCACATAGTCCTAAGAAGTGGGCCTTGGGTTAGCTCTAGAATGAGCTTTGTACTTTCCGCATTGGCCCAAATAGTCCCCTTCTAGGAATGCTCTCAAAGGCCCAGTGGAAACTTTCTCAGTGGTATAAGGACATTTGCTGTAGCACTTTTTGTAACAGCAGAAGAACAGACAGGACCCTGCGGCTGCCAGCAGGGTCCAGTGCAAGTAAACTCCGTGCTTTTCACTACATGGAGTGAAATGTTCCATGCATGGAAGCAGAAAAGCACTCAGGATTGTCAGATCAGTGGTTCTCCACTGCACATGATTTTGCTACATAGTTCCTCGCAACCCAAAATACGCCATTAAGTGAAATAGAGTAATGAATAATAAAATAAAGTAAAAGAGTGTCTTAGTTAGGGTTACTGTTGCTGCGACGAAACACCAGACCAAAGCAACTTGGAGAGGAAAGGGTTTATTCGGCTCAAGCTTCCACATCACAGTTCATCATCAAAGGAAGTCAGGGCAGGAACCTAGAGGCAGGAGCTGATGCAGAGACCATGGGGGGCGGGGTGCTGATTACTGGCTTGCTCCCCATGGCTTGCTCAGCCTTCTTGTAAAGCCCAGGACCACCAGCCCAGAGTGGTCCCACCCACAATGGGCTGGGTCAAGTTGATATAAAACTATCCAGCACACTGGGTTTCTTTCTCAATCATTCTCCATATTACTTACTAAGGTGGAGTCTCTGAATGAACCCAGATAATTTCAATTCAGCTAGTCTAGCTATTCAACTCGCCCTGGAGGGTCCCTTGTCTCTGCCGCCCCCACGTGTTGGGATTACAGATGGGACTGATTCAGGCACACTAGGATTACAGATGGGCTGTCTGTCATGCTTATATGGCAAGTGCTTTATCCACTGAGATGTCTCCCTTCCCCTATAACAATTAAAATCTTGTCAAACTTCCTGTCTTAGTCCATTTTGTGTACTGTAACAGAATAGAGTAGAATGGATAATGTATAATGAAAAGAAATCTACTCATAGCTCAGTGTTCAGATATCAACATGCTGTGTGAGGCCTTCTTATACCATCATTCCACAGAGGAGGGAGAGGAGGAGGGAGAGGAGGAGGGAGAGGAGGAGGGAGGGAGGGGGAGAGGAAGATAGAGAGGTTGTGGGATATTTGATCACACTGTGAAACTCTGAGACTGTGGTGATAAAATTAACCTTGGATCGCAGGGCAGAACCAGTCAACTAGTTGACAAGAATTAGCCACAGAGAATATGGAGAGCCTAGGAAGATGGATAGAGAGATGCACAGGAGAGCGTAGGGACTGACTTAAGAGATTCTTGGGCCTTTTTGGTTTGGGACAGAAGGAGAGACGCTCTCTTGCTGGGTCCTTGACCAAAAAGGAAGATCAGCTGGCTGGCTGCTTCTCGGCTTCTCTGGTCTAGCAGATTTTCACCACAATATCTGACTCCTGAGTTCTTATTGGTAACTACAACAACTGAGATTAAAAACCACCTGTGGCATCCAAAGCGTGGCATGAGATCACATGACTGATTCCAGAGCTGCCACTTCCCCTCGCTGCCACAGCCGCTCCTGAGGCGGCTTTTCCCACAGCAGTTCCTGAGCATCTGCCCCTCTGGCCCCAAGTGCCTCACAGCCCTACACCAAACCTGCTTGTGCTCCTCCAGCACCCACTCAGGCTTCTGCTGCCACACATCCTGAGTGCCTCAACCCCACTGCCGCAAACACCGCAACAGATTTGGTAAGATACCTGGGAATTCCAGAGAAAAATCTTTCCCACATTAAGAATGGGAAAAATCACAACGCAGGGAGTTAGGGCCACAACGGATGGCCTGGACATGGAAAAAATAAATGAAGGGATAACCAAGTTAGCTGAGCTTGACATAATGCTGCCTAGAATTACTCTGTTTGGTCATTCATATTTTATCCCTTAAAAAGCAGTTTGATAACTGTGCCAAATATGAAAAATTTACTGAGAAGATACAAGCCTCAGAAAAACCTACTAATGAAAATAAGAAAAATATTCAGACACAGACAGAGGAATTTAAACAAGGACCTATCACACCACTGCATGATGAAACTGAAGAGGGGAGGCCCAAGGTTATTAGAAAACCAACCTTAGTTTACCCAGTTA